GTTTTGTGTTAACGTTCAGCGGAGTGCCTCCAGCTATAACGATCTCCGAAGCTAAAAATGCCAGAGTTTCACCTTTCAAACACAGACAAGGTGCCAGCTGAATACATTTATCCAGTGATATAGGCTGTTTTCAGCCCGGCAAATCCCATGTTTACATCCTAAAAATAGTCATGTGCTTTATTTTCATAATAAAGTGCAATTATTACTCATTCAAGAATAAAAACGGTTTATATAATTATTTTTATATCAGAATAAAAGCATTTTATAAGTAGTTTTTGGATATACATTTTTAATATACTCTTACCTTTTTCAATAATAATATCTCTGAATCCTTTCCCTAATTATCCATCTAATTCATCTTACAGAACAATACACTACAGTGAAAAACTAAAGGATAACTTAGAAAAAATATTTAACACGCAGTGCATAATTACGAATTCTAGAGAAAAGCAAGTTTAGTGAGGAAGAATGCACACATAAAAAATAATTTAAAAGCTCATATATGCACAAGCAACAACTATCTACAACAATACATGCACACTAAAACTACTAATAAAGCACAATGTGCAAGTAAAAGACACCAGTCTCAAATTTGTGAGAAGAAAGCGAAATTTGTGTCACATTTCTATTAAAATTAGTCAAACAGATAATGCATGATCACAAACTGTTGAAAGTTTAGTAAGGAGATACATAAAAGCGACAGAGAACTAAACTGTGACTGGCAGATTAAAAGACACTTTGTCACACATAGATATCTCCAAATATATGAAAATCCTCAGAAATATAATCTCAGAATTAGGAAAGAGTGGTTAAGAGTAGATGAGATTCTTTTTAGTAAAGGACATAGCTGTTCGAAAGCTGCAACCTCTTCTGAGGATCTCAGTATTTGACTGTAAGGACGAGTAGCATCGCCAAGTTTAAATAATCTCACAATATTTACTAGCACAAGATTATAGAGGCGGAGTGTTTAGAGTAGTTTACGTGCAATAACTGCCTCGCGAAGCGGCCAATGAATATATATGTTCGAATAACTACTTCCTAATAAGCAGATACATTTAAGATGGAACTGCGGATTAAAACGAACTGAACGGCATTTAAGATAGATTTGTGAAGCCCATGAGTAGGAACACGTTCGTTAATGATTTCAGCTCAGAGTAACGTATTGATTCTAGATGTATGTTTTATCGTCACAATTTTAAGAGTTCGTAGTAACACATTAAATATCGTGAAACGTGTAGTTTTCATGCCAGTAGTTTGTTTCTATCGGAAAGAATCACGACAACAGTCTTATCAGTTTGCATATAGAGAAAATAAGAGACAGACTACAGATGAAAGTTTCACCCCCTATGTTGGGCCTTCCGAAGAGCTATTAGGCCTATATTCCTTTTTAACATCGGTGATTAACATTAGATTGAAGTAACTGTTTACTCCATAGAATTTAACTAAGAGTCCAATTCACTAAAATGAACAAGCACCATAGCATTTACCAAAACTATTTATTTCCCTCCTTCAAAATAAATTCGTTCTTCTCGATCTAAATAATACAAGTTTTTTGTATTAATACAAGGTCAAAAATAATATATTTTCCAATCTTTATGCGCATCATTATCCCACAAAGCGGAGGAATCGGGCATAAGTGAGTACTTACTATTTTCTTTAACTTTCGATTTAGAAGTAGAAACGAAATACGTTTAAGCTGCGTTGATTTTTAAAAATAAAATTTTGAAATTATAATCATCACACATGCACTATGCTTTATTTCTTGTCAAGAGCAAAAACATTTAGGAAGTCACAATTTCACACACTGCCCCAAAGACAGAAATTAATTACGGAAGGAAAGAATAAATAAAAATGAATCAATACAGTATGATAACACTTCAAAAGAAGGGACAAAATCTACCTAGAGATCAATCCATTTAAAATCGTCAGAAAGTTCTATATGCGACTTATCTACAACATAATAGTTTTTACTGCATATTTATATCTAGTGAATAAGTGAAAGAAAAGACAGTTTACTGATAAGAAATGTAACAAAAGATTTTATAAAGTTTACCGAAACACAACCAATATAAATATTTAAATTTTTGTATGTATTCAAAAATGAAGGAAGAAACGACACATTTCTTCGAAAATGGAGAGACGGGAAAATTCGTCACCGTATTTCTCGTTAAGCAGCTTCCCTAGAGACTGTTGAACTCGGAATAAAAACGAACATCTCAATAAAAACTTCAAGAACTCAAAATGGAGACAAAATATTTGCATAAAGAGACACGAACAAAAACAGTAAAACATATTTTTGTTTTAAAGTAAAGAAAAGCGCCGTTCCCCACTCACCGCATTTCTACAGCCGCTAAGAGACTTAAGAATATATTTTCTAAACGAAAGCCACTTCTTCTGATAGTGAAGTTGTATAACATAAAACTTCTAAGATATGTAAATTCAAACTCGGATTCCAGCAGCTCATACAGATATTCATAATTAGAAGACAAAACTGTTGTTTTGAGAACGAAGATCGAATGCGCGGTTTTCTAAGGCACACACCAATGAGTAATTCTTCGACTATATTTATTTAATTACGCTAAATTATCATTTTGATTACACAAATGACAACACTTCTAATATGCATTCATATTTCAAATTCACGTTACAGACCTTTATTTAGTAAATATAAAGCGTAGCAAAATTCCTAGTTCCGTCAATTCTAGAAATATAAGGATTGTTCTAAAAATTCATGAATACAGCTATTCGAAATCGGGTGAAAATTTTATTTTCAAAACACTTGCTTTTACATTATACATACTGATTTCGGAGAAGCATAAAACCTTGCATAAAATACTTTTCAAACGAAAGTTATAGACCATTTTCTAATAGTTTAATGTAGCGGATGTGTCAGCTGTTTGATTGCCGGTGTTTAAGAAAGAATTAGCCCGCGCTTAATTCTTTCTTAAACACCGGCAAAGCTCAGAAATCGTAGGAAGGTAAGGGCAGGGCTGTATGAAGGGAAGCTTGTTTAGCGCTAACGCTTCTTTAACTTGTCCTGCTACTCTAGCCTTATCCTGCCAAAGAAATCATTCTTATGAGGCAGTTCAGGTAATTTGTTTTGTGAGCTGCTCCTTGCTGCACATTAGGATAGCTTTCATTTACCGTTTGTTTCTCTGCAACCCAACTCCACAACACTATTTTAGGAATATCAGAAAGCAAAAACCAATTCTTAGTTCTCTTAGGAACGGTTATCCTAAATTTTTTGGAAAATGGTTGGCTGAGTTTTTATATGTTGGACTGCTACTTCGATTCGGGATTATAATATCTGATTCAGGATTACATGGTGATATTTATTCTTTAAAAGAAATCAAGATCTTTCCATTCCTTGAAGAAAAGCCTGGCAACCACCTTGCACAAGCAAGAAACATTTTCATCTAGTAGTATTTTGCTATATTAATATCAAATTTAGCTGACAATTCAAGAATGAATAAATGACTGTCTCCTTTCAATAATGTCTATGCTTTCGCGAAGTGCTTCGTTGTTCAAAAATTATAGATGCCCACTTCTTGGCTCATCCTTTATATTGCTTTTGCTTTCTTAAAATGTTTTCCCCGCTTGAATATGCCCAATATGTTCATTCTTTCTTCATCTCAGGCTAGTCTGATAGTCGCAAATATCAATATTGCGTAAGCTGACAAAAGATTTAATAGCGAATTTTCTTCAGAAATCAGCGGTATAGCCTTCATATCTACTACTGTAATGCACACTGCCATTTTGACTTTTGTAGTGAGGATGCAAAAGACAACTGCGTAATGGCTTTGCTCTCATTTACAAAACACGATATATGTGTATATATCTTCTTGAATTACAGAATGAAGTTATTTATAAAATCAGTGCAATGTTGTGAGTATGCAAAACTGTCGAAACAAATTATAAGGTATTTTCTCACTTCTCTTCGCATGCCTCCCTGGTGTAATTAGAAGCATACTCGACGCGTATTCCGAGAGGTCCAGGGTTCAAGTCCCGGCGACGGCATAGCAAATTTTCACGTCTCCTGCTTAAAAATAACCTAATGACTCTATAAGCCTTTGTAATATGTTACTTAAATTGTAATATGTTACTTTGTAATATGTTACTCTATAAGCCTTTGTAATATGTTACTTTATATGTTACTACCTTATTAAGAACAAGGATGCACACGAAGACCACTCGAGTAAAATTTACTGGATTTATATACTAAAAGTTATTTGATGAGTATTGTGGTCAGAAAAAACTGTCTCAAAGCTGAAAGGCCCTCTTTCGAATGGTGAGTAAGGGTATGGACACCCATAACTCTAGTTGCTTTTACAGAGCGAAGGTAAGTAATATGTCAGTCATTCAATTCTCTTTAGATACTAGTGGAAAGGGGGGAGAAAAGCAAAATTCTTGGTTTGTATCGTTCAGCATGTTCTTGATTAAAACTGGAATGGAGAAGGCAAAGTCTTCGGTCATAATTCTCAAACATCAGTGTTATCAATGGTGTTCGATGATTATGATCAATGACAGACGCAAACCTTCCCTAACAAATATTATTTCTGAAGCAGTCCATTGCGACTAATATTCAAAAACACTGACTGCCTTTAAGATTGAATAACATAAATAAGCTTTTTGAGTTTCCAGGCATATACCCCTTTTAAGAGATGCTTAAGATTAAGGCAAAATGTGTCACCGCTATTATAATATTAATGACAATAAGTAGATGTTTTAAACAATCATGGCTACATTATCACTAATTAGAAACTTCACTCAGTCAACAGAGAAACAATTCTATCTGTCAGAAATGAAGCTTGATGGTGAGAACCAATGCATCAAATTTACACCATAATTTAATGTTATATTAAAAGCCAAAAGTTGCTAATTAGAAGTCAGAATTCTTCCAACAATAAAAATTAAGCTGAAATCAAATACTACTTATACACATAAATAAAACATTTTTAAAGCAATTACTAGGTTATATAATGAAATATTTCTTCACTTACCGATATTAGGATGGTTTAATTTTCGACAGATTCTGGCTTCTCTTTCAAGCTTTTGAAAATCTAGAAAAAAAGAGTTCATATTAAGATGCTTGCATATTAAGAAACACGATTTATAAATAATAACACACAAATAACAATTTTGAAATCGTAGATGATGATTTTAACGCTTACACGTGAGTTAAAGTTTTATACTGAATCAAAGCACTAAGAATATCTGTAAATTAGCCCGGATATTCAGAGAAAAAATTTGGTTGCGCAATATATTTATGGAACTTGATAATTAATCAGCTTCTATGATAAAGAAATTAGATTTCGTTGATTCTCATTAAGTTTTCCCAAAGTTATGTATCCACAGAAAAAATAAGCACAAAATACTATATCAAGTAGTATACCTACATTTATTTATTACATATTAGACGAAGGAATAACATTTAATTTTATTTTAATAGCATTAAATTTAATTTTTACAACAGTTCTGCATTGAATTTCTTTTAGCTTTTTAATGTCTCATTTACAGGATTCACTTTAAATGAAGCATAATACATTGTAGGTTATTTTGAAACAGGAGATGGGAAAAATGTGCAATGCCTTCACCGGGACTCGAACCTGGACCTTTCGAATACGCGCAGAGTGTGCTACCGTTACTATACGAGGGCACGCTGGAAGGTGCCATATTAAAATATAGCAAATTAATTTACATGTATATGTCCAGAGCTATGAACTTCGACATGTAGATTCTGCGGAGAGGTCCGCATGTACCTTGAAGATACATTTTGAAAATTCGACTTAGTCTTTTTAGCTAATTTTGAAACCATCTCTTACAGTTGCTTTGGCTAAATTCTCACCTAAATATTTAATTATTCGTAGTAGAATTTCATTCTTAAAATCATCCGAAAATAGTCGTCCAAACAAAGTTTAAAAATTGTAACACATTTTAGTAAAAATTTGCAGGTAACGTTAGATACCAATTTTGACATATTTGTTCAAAATTGATCGATTGATGCGATTATTTTATTTGCAATTTTTTTTTAAATCCGATACTAGAAAATGTTTCGCTTACAGTGCCTTGAATTTTGCAAGAATTACGTACAAGCGACCTTTTACCCTTACCTTTTAAGTGACTGCAAAATAGAATATTAAATCTTTCAAACAACGTATTACATACATCTTATCTTAAAACGAAGAATCTAGGATGGTTTTAATTTGTTATAACTCATGACGTCGAGAACAAATGCGAATAACTATATACTATAAGCCAATTTACCATCTTTCATTATACAATTAACATAAATTGCTGTGTTGCTTAAGAGGAACTAATGCAATGAATTGATGCTGAAATTTGCCATGCAAAATATTGAGCAGTACATTCAGAATATACTCGTAGTACATGGGCGTTTGAACGGGCACTTTGTATTTAGCGCAGAGTTTGAAGCAATTCCTAATTGCGAACTCTGGTATCAGCAATGCATTAGTACCACAGCTATGTTCGAAATGCAGCTGTCAGTAGGCGGGAGTTTCATTAAACTAGAAATTGCTCAAAGCTCTTAATTGAGTGCTGATTCGATCAAATTTGTGAAAAGATAATGTAATTGCACAATCTATAAAGTAATGGAAGAAATGAAGGAGCAGAATGTAACAATTTTGCTTTCGAGTTAAACTTCCTTTCTTCGCAGAATGCTAACATTGACTTTAAACTTTGGATATTTAAAGTCAGTATATAATGTAAACCCTATATAAGATGATTACGTTCGATTCGAAATAATTACGGTCTTTTGTGGATTAAATTTGATTTAAACAACTGGTGTTCAATACCAGTGTTGTTCAATACCGAAGAGTAAAAAGTATGTGTTTCGTGGGCGCATTTATCTGATCAATAGTTATTAATACTAACAATGTTTTTAGCTGAAACACTTTGCAATGAAGTTTTCGATTCGTCTCATGAATTGTCTTATGAACTTTACTGTTGATTATTGCGTAAAGTTTAAGTTGTAAAATAAAGCAATAAAATAATTGGCCCACCTTTGTTTAATACTTATTTAACATTATTTAATTTCGTTTAATCTTAAAGTCATCAAGTCTCAAAATGTTTCAACAACTTTAAAGTTAGATTTATTCTCCACGTTTTAATTTTCCCATTCTCATTCTCATGCAATTCATACCATAGAGAATTTCATACGTTCACTGATTCGATTCGTTAGAGAAACGTGAGCTCACTAATTTTCTGAGAAATGGCGATTATTTTAGCAAGGTACAATTCACTATACATGTATACACAATACAGCTCTTTCCTCACGATCACCTAACTAAGAAAACCATTTCTGAAAGTGACCAGTACTTTGAGAACAAATACAAACATCGACATTTCACACCAGCACCTCTCTAAGATGATCATATTCACATCATCTTTAGAGCTATTTATTATATAAAATTTTTAACTACTTGTGAAACTATTTAATTAGGTAGCTGTTTTTTTAATTTACTTATTTACATTTTCTTATGCACCATGCGAAATTATACGTACACACATTTTTTAATGTATCAGCTCTAACTACTGACTCTAATTACATTTTGAATAACCGCCAGGAAACGTTTTAGAGTGGTAACTTCTTACCCTAAACACATCGGACTGCAGATTCTCTTTTACGACTTTTTTTTATAATTTTCAGAATAGAGGTAAGGTGAATATCTCTTATTCTGGACCTCACTGGAGACTTGTTCCTTTTCATTAATTAGAAAAGCTGCTCACACTGATATGAACTATCGAACACGAAAATCACGTATTCTCTAAGAATCACGCAGACAAATGTTGGTATAACACGGGGAAACCCATTTCAATGAATCTTCGCTTCAGAGCTCAGCCGCACTGAACTCCAGTTTATTTCGTCCGTCAAAAAGCTACATAATGTTGTGAAGAGATTGCCTCAAGAATCCTATATAGCGACCTAGATTGTATATACACTACGATTATCGGCGAAATTCCAATTTTTATGAATATATTATACATTTTGCTATTTTCCAAAGGTCAAACGAGAGCCGCGAGTTTGCCATGCCTGCTCTACAGTATTACTTATGTGCTTGTATTATTAGGTATTTCTCCCGCCTTCTTAGCATGCCTTCGTGGTGTAATGGTCAGCACGCTCGGCGCGTATTCGAGAGGTCCGAGGTTCGAATCCCGGCGAGGGCACTGCTCAATTTTCATGTCTCCAGCACAAAAAAATTCTCAATGTCTCTACATTATAACCATAAATACTATGCCTTTTTATTTACAAATGAAAAGAAAGAAATTTAAAAACCTGATATTAATGGGTGTTATTTTGCAGCCTACCATCAACATCAACGCCAGAGATAATAATTTTGAATTTTAGATTATTTAGCACGGTACTCTTCATGAGTGGAAACCTGTCCTGGTCTACCACGATTCCATTCAATTTAGTGCAGTAGATAAACATCAAAAACACATAGGTTAAACAACACACTTACCGCAAAAATTACACAGCGAACGTACTTTCATTAATCTGAAATAGGATAATTTTAACAAAACTTTAGTTCTTCAAAATAGTGATTAGTAAAAAAAAAAGTTTTCCTTTTGTACTCCCCAGCATTCGATTATTTCTGTTAGTTCCCACTAGTTCGAATTAGAGAGATTTCACTCCATCTTTACATTAATAGTAAATACATTTCTTTACAAAAAGTACGTTAAATTGCATACAGCAAAGAATACGCTTGAACAGAGATGATGAAAACGTCTCTTCACTCATCTATACATTATGAAAATTTTATTAAAAGTGTCACTTTTTTCTCGCTTAATTCCAGCAGCAGTAACATGCAGCAAAACCATTTAAAAAGAACAGGTGTTAGAGAAAATGGTCACATAAAGATGTGGAATAAACTTCTAAGAGCATTACAGTTTGAAGCAGCAAATTATAAATATTTAATTAAATAGGAGTTACGCCAGTTCAAACACTTGACATAAAAGAGCTAAGGCTTCAAAACAGAGAGAGAAAAAAAAAAAATTGAAAATATTAAAGAAGAATTTCTCATAGTTCCTTGATTAAACATTCGTGAAAATTCGAATTAAAGTATTCCAATTCAAGACCTACTGAAAAAGTGAAGACATAATCCCACCCTCCGTCACATTCATTTTCTGTTGACTTCTTTGCATGGTGGTAAGGAAACTGGATGGCATAGTCTTGGGCTCGGGTTCGAATTCCGGAGAAAGCATCGATGTTTGTAAGTGTACAATGTCTTTGCACTATAGAAGACACTTAAAATACGTCGATCCGAAAATCCTCTAGACGTAGGAGAACAGGATATAAAAGACACTTAGATTCATCTCCCGGCTTGTTCTCTTTCAAATTTGCGACAGAGCTATTCTCGAGGTTGCCGCCTAGGTTGAACCTTGGGCAATATTTTCAGCGATAAGACGGCTAAATGACAGACAAGTTCTTGCCATTCTCCAAGCAAGCATTAAGTTACAAGAGTTCGACCATTTGAAACAACACGAATAATAATTTTCTAATTAAAAATTATTGTTGCGTGCGTACGGGTTCGTTATGAAATGAATGCACAAGTCCGATGAAAAATGAACAAAAATTTATTATTATCACAACAAAAATGCTTAAATTTTCTCAAATTATCATGCAGTATTACAATATCTCACAGTAGTTATCTTTTAACTACTCAAATGTACAATAGAACGTAATTCAAAACAGCTAAAGAACGCTAATCCGCGAATTCGCTACAATCAGCAAGAGCAGTTTTCTAAACAACAACAAACTAAGCAACTACTACAAACTGAGATGTTTTCCTCCTTTTATAAGATTTTAAAATCACGCGCTAGAATTTTTCTAGTACTTTCTCGAAATCAAAAAGAGATATTATTTATTTAATGCACGCGCTCTTGTATCTTCAATTTTCCGGCTTAGCTTTCTTTTAATATTCGTCACGCGCTGCACTGCGCGAGAAATAAAACCATTTAATTTATAATTGAACTAACATTAGCTTTTTAAATACCAAATTCGTAACATTATTTTGCATTAATCTATGTACAATAAATCTGA